TAGAATTTTCAGGATAAAACCTATGTTTTCTTTTATTCACAATGAAGTACTCTTAACCAACAACGTATTTATTTGTTTATTTGAATAAAGATTATTATTATTATGTTGATACAACTTAAAACAAATTATTTCGACGAAATTAGTTACCATAAAAACGGTTTTTGTGAGTTAATCTTAAAAGATGGACATATACTGTCGCGAACTGTTTTTTAGATCATTAAAAGAGCTATTATTCTTCAATACATATTTTTTGTGTATCTTGAACCGTTTTCGCGGCGCACGCAACGGAAGGCTTCAAAGATGAAATAACTTCTCCCGTTTTTTATACATTTACCACTATATCTTTGCTCCTATTGGTCGTAGCGTGATGTTATATAGCCCAAAGCCTTCCTCGATAACTGGACTATCCAACACAAAAAGAATTATTCAATTCGAACCAGTAGTTTCGGAGATAAGCGCTTTCAAACAAACAAACAAACTCTTCAGCTAAAGCTGAAATTTTAATCTATACTAATATTATGAAAGCATGTTAATCTATACTAATATTATTTATAATATTAGTATATATTAACATGCTTTATAACCCTCCCGCGGGGTGCGGGCGGCGGGACAATTTCTTAATAAACGTTGATTTTCGCTCATATGTATTTGTTGTTTTAAATAAACACCTAACATTACATATGTATGGTACAGACTACATATGTACATATGCAAAAAGCCCGTTTTTCTTCATATATTGGATTATCCGGACTTTCAATTATCCGGATGCCTACCGACAACAATTAGTCCGGATAATCGAGGTCCTACTGTATATGTTTTATTTTAATCTTCACTAGAAACAAGAAACTAAATAAGGTTTTCTTTAGGGTTTTACTTTTGAATTTTATCTTAATTTTTATCATTTTTTATAGTTTTTAGTCTCATAATAAAAGCCTAATAACGCATGATGCGTTTTTTAACATAATGAAATTTGTAATTTACATAATGATATGTAAAAAATATAAGTATATTTAAATATAGTAAATGTCGCATTAAATGGTAATAACGGTAATGTGAGGAAACACCACTAACTAAAGAAGAAGAAAAAGAACGGTAATGTAAACTAATTATTTAATATCCATTATATTTTTCATATGTAATGATGTCTTTCGTTTAAGTCTAACTATTTTTTGTATACAACTGAAACTGCTTATAGCTTAATAGAATTATCATTCAACTAGAACAGTAAGTATTTTTTAATAATAACAAAATTTGTTAAGTAAAGTAGGTTTTATAAGATTTTTGAATGTAAACATCAAGTAGCGCATTGCAGCAATGACGTACACTGCGGCACAGACACCACTAAATACAATTCTTTCATATGTGCTGCTATATATTAATAAAATCATTGGTTCCCAATACTGTTAATATTTGATAATATTTTCCACATCCAAAGTAGCGACCTATGTATTAAACTTGTGTGCTCATTTTAGTGCAGCCATTTGCGTCTTCGCTTCATGCATTTACTTCCCAATTTTTTTTTGTTTACAATTCATACAAGTCAATACATTAACAGTTATAAACAAAACAAAAAGCGTTTTAAACAGGATCTTAAAAACAATATTATGAAATAATTATTCGTGGTATTTTCAATCATTGTTTGAAATGAACCTAATATTAGATATTAATTAATTATCAACGAATGTCTGTGCTGTGGTTTTAAATTGTCTTGATTGATCTTCTTATGTTTCCATTCTTCATTATTATTCTTGTTTTATTTACAGACTTCGTGATTTTTTTTTAGTATAAGTTGTAATTTCAAAATGTTTAATTTTAGACTTTTAAATTTAGATGTTTATCTACGTAGGTAAGAGTACTATAGGTAAGAGTGTATTAATTGATTAAAAATTTTTAAATGTCATTAATGGCGGTTTTGAATATATATTTTTTTGTTTTTCTTTTGGTTTATTTTAATATTCATATCTGAAGTACATTTGTTATGTTAATGGTTTATATAACTTATATTCAGCGTTGATTCTTAATTTGTAGTTTTTGTTATTTTAGAATTTATCTGTAACTATTTTATCTTATCGAAATGTATTTACTAAAAATTCAATATTCGCATAAAGTTATTTTACTGATAACTTGAAACGTAAATTAAAATGATAAAATAATAACTTCATTATTACTGATTAATGAAACCAAAATACCTTCTACTTTGTGGTAAATAAAATAATTTTTATTTGTCAACTGTCTGTTTGAAGTCGTTTTCTCTTTATTATTTTCTTAATTTAAAGATTTTGAGTACATTTAACAACAAAGCTTCTGGAATGAGCAGACGACAGCTTGCTAAGATAGAAAATGTTAGACGGAAACATTTAGAAAAATAGAAGTGAAGCTAATGAAATGAGAAAAAACGCCAGAGAAGCATTCATATGGATTGTGGGGTATGAGTAAATAGATTAATTAAGGAAGGTCAAGAAGATCGCTATCCTTTGATGTGCAATAACTGAACAAATGAGTCCGATGAACACCCTGACTTACAGTTTTGTCATTATCAAATAAAACCTATGTAACCCATGCTCACTGCCCCAGTTCAATTTGTGAACGATTGTCAAATAAAATTCATAAAGTCGTGACTATCGGCTTAGTTTGATTCGAAAATTTAATCAAAAGTTAAAAAATTTAAATCAACAGTGTGAAATTCTGCTCTTTCCTATCGGTACTTCAATAATCACTCGATTTGCACTTTTGTTAAAAAGTAAAATAAAAACCTATGTACGTTTATTACAAAACCAATGCTGTTTGCGAGCAAACTTTTGCATGATAAATTTATTGATGTAAAAAACAAAACGTAAAACTAGTGAAACAGTAAACAAGTAAAAAAGGAAAAAAGGCGTGCTTGTGAATAAGCGTGTACCTACAACGTAGCTATTGCTTCAATCAAAGCAAATTGTTTCGAATTTATTTGTTTACTACATATTTTTATAAGACAAACATAAACAAACAATGTTTAATGCTAAATAACTAAAATTTTGTAATCATTAAATATGAGAAATAGATTTATGTTACGGTAATAAGTGATAAACTAGTAAACTAAATAAATGCTTAAATTAATAAACTGTAAAAGATTTACCAATTAAAGCATTGGTAAATCATCTTTATGTAGTTTTATAACTCAAGTAATAAAAGATCAAAGGAACTAAATGTAATATAATACAGACCAGGGCAATTACAATGTTACGAGTGTTTTACAATGCTGTAACAGTGACAGCGGAGCGAACTAAGAAAATAATCACAAGTTTAAAGGTTCAAAGATTTGAAAAAGAAAATAAGTAGAATAACGAATAGTATGCTTATAGTAATGTATGTGACGATAAGGTAAGCGTCATAACGCTTTCTAGAAATATTTTACGGATAGAAATGTAAAATAAGAACTACACATTACTATGTATTAATATTTTATACATGTTTAGTATATTGAATAACAGAAACTGTATAATTATTATAAATACGTCTCCATTTGATAGTTAAGAATATTGATAGAGTTTAAAATTTCATTCCCATTTTGGTGTAACATAAATCTCAAAATCCGTTTTATCCCCTTTATTAATCTCGTTTAAACGTGATTTCCTGTTCAATCAACTGGAATCGGTTTTACTGGATATTGGTACAAGCTACGATTTCCACTAGATATTGTACTAAAAATTGGATTGCTTGTATTACCATTAATTATAGATTTTAAGGCTAAAATTATTGAAATGGCTTTATTCTTCCTCCAAATAGATTTGCAATAAGCGTTCATAACGTTTGATCTCCATACCGTAATTAAACACACAAACACGCTCTAGTGTTACAAAAATGGACTCCAGACAATAGAACAGATTAAGAAAATATAAGTGTAATTACTTCAAGCTTTTGATGAAAGTGGGAACAACTAAGCCACGATGATGTAATAAAATTTAAATACGTGGAGATCATAAAAAAAAAATAAAAGTTGGTTCTATTTTAACAATAATAAAATTTTCATATCATTATAATAATTAAATTTTACTATAAAGCATTACAATCGTATTCAAACCAATTAGTAATAATGAATTTTATAGTTATTGCCGCATTAAAATAACAGATGAACATATACATATATTTTATTTAAACAATTCAAAACAGACGTATCAATAAAACTGAAACAATGAAATTCAGTAATATATAAAATCTTTTGTTCTAAAAAGTTAATTACCACATCCCTGGGAAACTGGCTGAGTGCCGAGAAAAGTTTGAGGGGAAACTTTGAAGAAAACTTCCTTTGATATCATTATATCATTCGGGCATCCGATCAACTTTGTACAAGTATAAGCTATTTTTCACAACTAATGATCTTGTTTTGAACGTACCTTTTTACGTGTATAAATTAATTTGACGAAGTTATAAATTTTATAGTACAATTGTACAAACGTCACGAAGGGTCTCTAAATTTAGAAACACGCGTGATATTTCCAGGAGGAATTTAATAACGAAAATGTATTCAACCGTCTTAGTAGCCAAGACGCTGCAATAAATTACAGAGGTATTATTTCATTAATTAAATTGGCGAGCCAATCCTCGGGGCGAATGTGTATTAATTAGGCTTCAGAAACAATTTATTACACCAATTTCCCGACTAAATAGATAATTCGTGCTACTAAAAGTATTACTTTGTTAAGAAAAGTTTATCGTAAAAGAGTATGTTTTTAATTATCACTTTGAACACTGTTGTACTTTGATGTATTGCCATTCGAATTTATCTGTTTTCTTCATTATTTATACTTTAATATTAAGATTACAAGAAAATATGTGATATAAATAAAATATTTAATAATACATACCTTATACATAATTATATCACTATGAAATATGACGTACATTATTAGGCATCTTTTAAATATTTATCGTTCAAAAGAACATTCTGTTAAACGTCTGTTTATTGAAATGAATTATTGGTCTGTAGAAGTAACTTCAAACGTAATACTTGTTGTTCTAAGGTCGGGCAATAGAGCGGGTGTGTACAGGAGCAGATGGTTCTGGCATGATATCGGCAGCTCGAGCCTTACTTGCCTCTGTTACACGGGTACTACTTTTGGCCGACATGGTTGTTGTAAGGCAACTGCTGCTGGCTAAGGATAAGGTATGTTATTTTACGGTCGCCTTTCATATCCACTACAGATTTATACAACAAATTAACAAGTAAATTGATATTATAACTTTTCTATATTGGATTACTTTTTGATTTGTACTTCAATGTCTTGATTCTGTGAAACAATAAACGCGATAAAAATCCACGAATAGAATTTCATTAAAAAGTTTTATAATATTTCTCACCAGTAACCTTAACATGAACACATAACATTATCCACTATGTTTAATATTCTTGGAACACACAAACTATTCTGACTGGTTTCAAACTTTCATAAATCACTTTAAGAAGTTCCTCCAATAGTTAACAGAGAATGCATGCTGGCAGGTTGCGCGATCGTTGGATCGTTTAGAGTCTGTGTCAAACTTTGCTGAATTCGTTCGTGCATTCACTGAGTTTGGAGGAGGTATGGTGGAGTTAGCGAGGCTGACAGCAGAGAGGCGAGCAGACCTCAGGGATGAGAGAAGAAGAGCACAAGTAGCCGCTGCCAGAAAACGTTCTGGAACGTTCAACACTGATGCTCCTCACATCGTCTAAGGTATTGTGATCTATTTTTGAGTTTCGAATAATAAAAACTGTTTATGTTAACATGTACATTTTGTAACCGTCATTTTGTATAAATAAAAACAAAACATTTTTATAAAGGTTTAATTTCCTTTAGTTATTATTCTACTTCATTCATACAGAGAGTACTGTAAAACTACTATCAAATACAGAAGAAAAAAATTAATTAAAGTAAAATGTTATCAAGGGAAGCGGATGAACATAAATTTGTATTGAATTGTCCGGTCGGCGTGTCTTCATTGGTGTGAATAAGGCGCTACTGAGGTGGCCTTGCCCCATCTATTATGTAGGTTCTGCGCCAGTTTGGGACCAAGCCGTTTTGTTTGTGACAACATACTTTATGGGGTGCTATTTCTCTTTTCGTTTTATAGTCAAAATCTGATTTCACTGCAACAACATGGCTTTAAATATAGCAAGCGGAAAGAGACATAAATAACCTAGTTTACTGTTGTTGTATCCTAGAAACCTTCAATTTTTATAGAAGTTATTAATAATACAATTTAGAATGAATTTGTAAGAAAAGTATGAACTCACAGTAATAAGATTATTTTGGATTACTTTCATTAAGCTTAATTTTTTCTTTTACCAACGTTGCGTGACTTATTACAATATGAAAAACATTTTAATGAGTCTTCTTATAACAAAAAATCTTTAATATTTAAATATATCGGTTTCACTAGTAAGATTTTTATTAATAACTAGAAGACCTGGCGAACTTCGTATCGCCCTATAATCAAGAAATGTCTATTACGTTTTTTATTTATATTTTTGGAGTTTACCTGTAAGCCATAAATCTCCGTGTTTTGAAGTGCGACAGAATGATTGACATATTAGTTAGTTGTCAAATCTAATGTCAAAGAAAAACATTTGTATGGGAAATAGAAAAGGGCTGCTTTTAGGGTTCTCCCGGAAATGAATCAATTTTTCTCACCTTTTAAACCTTCCCTGAACCTCCACGAACATTTCAAGACTAAGATAACATAAATCCGTTCAGCCGTTCTCGAGTTTTAGCGAGACTAAGGAACAGCAATCCATTTTTATATATATATAGAAGATTATAGTACATAATGAAATTCATTATAACTTAGTATTATTACATCTGGTTGTTTAATACAAAGTTGGATATATCATGAATAGTTTTAGTTACATTTCATTGAATTTAAAAGTATTGCTTTTAGTAGCACCAGCCGTGGTTTGTGCAATCACTCCACTCTAGACATCTATTTGACAACACTTCCGGGAATAGTCGATACTTGTAACCGTTCTTTAGAACACCAGTTTAGAATTTTATATAAAAAACTTGAGTCTTTCAGTAATAAAAATGTGTTCAAACGAAGTGAGATCTGTTTAAAATAATAACAAAATTTAAATTTTTTCATTGTATACAATGTTTATCCATACTTAAAACACCTTTTTAGATTTTTTCAACTTTGCAGTAAAATGAACCACGTTTACTTATAAGGTAATAAATCAATTGCATTGATTAAATAATAACAAAATGGAACTCGGAAAAGTAATAACTGGGAACAAACGTGAATAAAAATATATTGGATGTCGGTCTTTTGGATTGCTTTTATTCTTTTATTTTTATAAATATTTTAATTCTTAATACAAAGTATGTAAAACGCATAGATTTGACTGTGTTAGATTAGTTCACATTAACATATTCTTATTTGATTAAAAGTTTTGAATCTCAATTATATTTAAACTTAAAAAAATCTTGAATTAAGATCATTCTTAAATATTTCCATTTCAACGTGTTTCATAATATTTTCATAACATTTTCAACTTTTAACTTTTTTATTAGTTTGCAGCGACCTTGTTTTACGAGAGGACAAAAATGATTGACAATCGAGTAATATATATAGACAATAATTTCTTAATTCTTACTTACTATTCTGGATGCGCTACGAACACAATAATTTAATGGAGATGTTGCCGTATGGTTCTGGGATTTTTTTTTACTATGGTGTCTCAAGTGTCACTAGCTTACAATAGCAGTATTTTATTATATTCAATTTCAGACATGTTTAAGACATCCGGGCAGTGCCTCAGCTAGAGAAAACCGTGATACAGTTTTTCTGTCAAATGCGTCGCGCGATGGACCTCATACACTACGTGGTACGGGACGGTCTCCCGGGACACGACGAGCAATCCCACGAGGTCTGTTCTAACTTACTACGTAACAGAAATCGACTACAGCTATCATTCATCCATTCACAATCCAAACCACACTCACTGCTGGACATAAAACTTTTATAACGCTCACTTTTTACTCCTACTAAGAGAACATAAGAATCTAGTTATTTTCCCTTAATTAGACCAAGTCCTTTCATCAGTTACTTATTAACTTTTCCACACGAAATTCGTTACTCTCTTCACTTGAAAGTGCGGCTTTTGATACTAATAGGCCCAGTCTTCGTCCAAATCGTTTTATTACCGATTAGATCTCGCTTTAAAGCTCCAAGCGTAGCACTCACAATTACGTTTTCAGTGACCTTATGAGAACTATGGTGAGCGGCTACGTCTCATTACCGCTTTATTAATGAGCAATATGACCCCACAAAGCACATCAAAAGGTTAAGACACTCTGAATAACACTGACACATGCTTTACTTTTTCACTTCTGACCTTTTAATAGCTATGTCCAAGCTAATTAGCTTTTAATATAATAACTATAATTTCTGCCATGGAAAAAACATTAAATTAAATATTTAAAAGCTTTTCTACATTAAATTTAATTTCAACAATTAGAAATGGATTTGCATAAAATAAATAAATAAAAAAATTAGTTTTTCTTTATACAGGGTGACTGGTGAATTACTATCAATATTTAAGGAGCATACTCGGTACATGATTCTCATTCGAATTATGTAAAAAAAATAGGTACTTAATTTTTGACCAAATTTCCGTATAAATAAATAAAGTGTGTACACGTTCCAAGTGTTCCTAGTGTGGACGCGTGTGGCGGCGTGCTGATACAACAACACGCCGCCGCCGCGTCTGTGTGAGTGTGTGTGTATACCTAATCTGTAGGGTGTTCATACGATGCGTAATTAATTACATAACTTTTGGTTAACTTTACTTAGAAGTTTATTAATATTTATGTTATATTAATTTTTATTTTGTCATATATGATCGTCAAATATCACGTCCTCAAATATCGATAGTAATTCACCAGTCACCCTGTAATATTGGACACAATTATTTTTCGATCCAAAGTGTGCTGTAGTTCTTTTGTAGAAAAAGTAATGTTGGACGTTTACATCTATTTAAAAATAATCTCTTTTTTAATATTTAAATAAACGACATTCACAGGCTCGCTTTGCCAAACAAATTTACAATGGCGTAAACATCAGGAAATCATAAACAAAATCACCTAAATAAATTATATAATTCTCAATAAAGACAATTTTCTAGAAATATAAATTGTATTTTTATATCAAGGCATTTTATCTGACTAGTTAATGTTTTTTGTCATCATTTTATAAACGCTTTTTCTTATCGATTTTTCTAGTCTTGCATAAATTGTACATATATATTTTAACAACATATAATGCGTGTTTTTAATGAAGGCTGGTTATTTTTGTTCCTTTATACGCAGCTCCATAAGGGGACATCCCGTCATTCACATGTAAATACAATTTACATACATAAACATGTACATACTACTTATATATATTTTTATTGTGCAATAGGGTTGGCTTATAAAGGACAGTGCCATTAGTAATTCAATATACTCTTGTCACATTTACAAGGAATGCTTTTGTTAATTTATTGTGAAATACAATATTTATTTTAATTATGAATAGTAAAGTAATGCATGTTCTGTGATTATTTATTTAATATTGGTAAACTATGCAACTATGAAAAGAAAAATAGAAAAAAAAACTGAATTCTAATAAAATGTCTTTTCTTCGAAGAACCGCAATAATTCAAGAGTTAAAAGATTTAAACAAACTCCCTCACTTATTAACTTTTTAGTTTATTCTGCTTAAATAGAAAGTTCGTCTTCATTTTCTACTAACAACAAGTCGTGATCAAACGGTTTAATATTTCACATTTATCAATAGCTGAACTTTAATCATTACTCCTAAGCAAAACAAAGCAGTGCATAGTTTTCCCTATAAATTATCTTATTTCAACGTGATTATGCAATCATGAATAATTGCGCCATTATACTTTATTTTCTTACAAAAGATAATTCTTGCTTTATACAAGGACTTAATATTTTAAAATTGCTATGACACGAGAATAATTTTCATCAATAAGAATTAAAAAATAAATTACTGCCAATGAAAGAAGATAAATTATGCATATGATCAGTGATCTGCCTTCCTCTGAGTCGTATGATCATGAGAATCGTGTATGTTACATAAAACTACAACGTAAAAACTATTGCCAGCTGAAAATGTTTTGCCTGAAATATAGGGAACGTTTAAAAATAATTTTTTTTTTGGTACACATTCGTTTTTTTTTTCATATGTCAATGTTATAGCAAAATAGTTTCATGTAAGTTTTTTTAATACTATTATTTTGATAAACACTACGACAAAATTTCATCAAAAAAGGAACATTAAAAAAAATTGCTATTAATATGTTACAAACCACTTTTTAATATTAAAAACGGAACAACAAATTTATAAGTTTGTAAATATCATCATGTATTGTTTCATTCTACATTAAAATGATATTTAATCTACAAACTCAGTTTCAGCAAAAATAACCTTTTCCTTTTGTTTCAAGTTATAAATAAATAAGAGGGCAAAATTTGATATTTGAAATATAGACAACAATGTATTGTTCGTTGAATATCAAAGACACATAAATGGCTCTGTTTCTATTTCTAACTATACTAAATAGATTTTATGGAGTTCATCATTCGCTAATTGAGACAGCGATTCACAGGTCTATCGTAATATAAAATCGTGTAAATAAAAGGAAAAATAAATTTTGTCTACAATTTTATTCTATTGAAATATAAAAGATATATTTTAAAGACATTCCTCATAAAACCCGGGAAGTATTGTTGGAATAGTAAATGCGACTGATAAAACTGAGTCAGTCAGTTTCAATATTAAATTGAATCGAAAAGAATAATTAGAAAATTTTAATTGTAAAATTTGGCCTTAATCGTGCTATTCAAAAGGTATTGAACCTTTCTTTGTTTAGATTGTCCTTTAGTGTAATTTTGGAGTGTCTATTTGGGTTTCAAGCGATAATAGATAGGCTTTCGCTGTAGTTCGTTCGGCTTTACATAATTGATGTCATGTAGGTAAGTTGTGAAGGCTAGGAATATAAATGTTGTAAATCTAGAGCATAGCGAGTATCTTTTATTCTTAATATAGACAATGTCACACCAATTTTATCTATAGCACAAAAACACCGATAAGGGCTACTATCGATATTTCTGTGCTACATATGGAAATGAATTCACTGCTGGTGATAGTTTTAAATGAAATTGATATAAAAAAAACATATAATAACTATAGAAAAGGAATACTGTATAATATTTTTTCATTAACGGGATTATTCAAAGTAAGTACGAGGAGAAAATGTAATAATTTCCCCAAGATATTTCCTTAAACCTGCAATATCCTTTTGAATATTATCTGTGCCATGTTTCATTTACTTCAGAACATAAACGTTTTTATTTTTCTTGTAGTTGCAACCTTTCTCGGATAGTCAAGAACAGGTACAAAATAACGCAAATATAGCCGAGTGCCTTCTTCTTATTTCTATCAGTTTTTTTATTATTTATAAAATGCATTCAAATAAAAAATTATATAGAGCGCATAGACTATTTCGAATATATTATATTCTTTCTCATACATTTAATATTTTGTACAAAAATAAATAAAATAATAAAACTAATACATCAGTAATTATATTGGTATGAGAATGAATTAAATTATAATATTAATGAAATAAATTACTCAAGCATCTGTAACAAGAATAGCTTTTGTTAAAATAATTTTATTTCAGTTCAAAGTACAACCTTTTGTTTTATCATCACAAATCTGTTAGAACACGCAACCAGTGCCTGGGGCAACGTAGTTATGCTTACTTTGTTAATACTAAGTAAAATTTTTGTATAGTGTAATTAAGCTATAGCAGTCTTAATGAGCTTCTGCGTTCAACACAACACACCTTTTAACTATGCATATAGAACACACTTGTTTTTATTTTTATTTTAATTGTATTTATTTCTAAATTTCATAATTACTAACAAGAGGTTTAGCACTTAATCCCCCGCTTAATATAAATGTTATTATGTCGTGTCTGTAATTTATTTTGCCTGTAAAAAGAAAAACCGCATCCTCATCATATTCACAATTTTTATCTGGTAAGCGTTTCAAATAACATTTTCATAGAATTTGCTTTACATTTTAATTTTTTAATAATTAAATAGACTAATATTTTAAAAACTCTAACTTAAATTAGTTGTACTACAATTTTCATCAGTATTTCTCTTGTATATTATAAAAAATAGCAAAATGTAATGATGGCAGGCTTCACAATGGGAAGCAGGAACAGCGTTAGGAGCACTTCGTGGTCTTTCAACACAAGTGAGAGCTGCTAGAGCTCGGGGCGGTGCAGACGGAGGGAGAAGAAGAGCGTTGGCAGCAACCCTGAGAGCCCTAGTTGAAAGAACGCATGACTTCACCGACTCCGCGTACACGTCGCACGAGCATAGACAGAGAATACTAGCCCTAGCGGAAAGGATAGCCTACGAACTGGAAAGACTAGTCGCCGTCGCTGTATCATTAGTGAGGGTTTTCCAATTCAGTTTGTATAAGCGAAAGAGCTTCATTTTGTTGCTGGAATACTTGCCTTAACATCCATGATATTCCTTAATATTAAGACGATTAGATTTACAATCGTTTGCAGGAAGAGAACAAGCCGGTAGTGGTAGTGGAGCGGCATTAGAAAGTGCGTGTACAGGAGCAACTAGTGCTGCTTCAGAACTCGAACGAGCCCTGGTGGCTGCAGCAAGGGACCAAGCCCGAGATTTGGCTCCTCTTGCTGAAGAAGCGAGAAAACTCGCATCAGATCTAGCGCACATAGGTAATCTTCAACGCAAAATAGGTACAGTCGTATTTATATGTCTCGCGAACACTTACATGTATTGGTGTTTTGATAAATTGGCTGTAGATATACTGTTTTACCTTTAAGGCATGCTCTAACACGATACAAAAGTGTTCGCTAATCTTTATTCCAGTATTAATTTTCACGTAACGTCTAGTGCTTACTTAATTTCAGCAAGCACTTGCGGTGAGAGAGAATCAGAGAGACTGCACAATATAGCTAGCCAGCTGCACGAACAATTGGATCATATAATTGAGGCAGGTGGATTTTTATGTACGTGTATACCATGGAAGCTCATTTTACCAAACCCTAGATTGTTTACAGGTGTGCAAATTGCTCAGACACATAGCGATGTCAGAAACACTTCAAGTAAGTGCGAAAAATTCGCTGAAATAAAACCTTAGAATATATGGACCGCACGCAAGTGGTTACGGCAGCAAGGACTCTGGCTGCACATCCTAATAGTGCGGCGGCCAGAGAGAACCTCGATGTGTTCGTTGATATGTGGGCGTGGCTGTTAGCTGATGCGGCTCGTCTCTCGCTAAAGAACTGCTTGATCTAACAGATGAGAGGCCAGACAAACAACAATATAGCAGCCTACCCAGACCTGGAGTAAGTTACCATGACAAAACATGGTTTCCTCTTTTTATTCTATGAAAAGAAATATTCAAAAAACACATAATTTCTTCAAATAATAATATCATAATACTCTAAAGTCGATATTTAGAGATATATTTTTTATTATTTATTTAGAAACATGGAACAACTAGTAAACCATTAAAAGCAGTGAAAAACTGGATTTCCGACGAGCAGGCGAAAATAGCTAAATCGGGTTTAGAAATGAAAATGATGTCTTCTGAGATGGATGCAGAGACTGAAAAATGGCAAGGAGCTGATGAAAACAACGACATTGTGAAGAGGTAAAAAAACCAAATATATTTATTATTTACACTGTCTTGTTTTATTTTGCAACGTTTCTAAATTATTTTTTCTATTCTTACATAATCTCATATAACTGTCTGATTTAAAAAACGTTTCCCAATCTGTATGACAAAAATATACACTTTACGTCTTAGCACGATAGCAGCTAATGTAAGCTCTAATTTCAGGGCGAAAAAATATGTCTTCCATGGCCTTCGCTATGTACCAATTCACAAAAGGTGAAGGTCGACTCAACACTACACAAGACCTCTTCACACAAGCCGAATACTTCGCAGAAGAAGCGAATAGATTATATAAAATCGTCCGGCAATTTTCCTATCAGGTAAAATTAAATACTAATACAATAAAAAAAATTATTTGTAAGAAATTTCAACATATTTTGTGTTCAGGTACCTGCCGGAACAATAAAGAAAGAGTTACTTGAACATTTAGATAAAGTTCCAACGTACGTACAACAGCTTCAGTTCACCGTGAAGGAGCCAACTGTAGGCCGAGCGGCGACCTTTAGCAAAGTAGATAACGTCATTCAAGAAACTAAACATTTAATGAATGTCATCAGCAAAGTCGTCACTACTTGCTTCGACTGCGCAAACAAGGTGACCCTCACTACTCATTACTATTGTGTGAATAATATTACCTTTACGAACAACACCTCGCACATTTTAAAAGTATAGAGGAATTTCTAGGAAATATAAAAATTTTAGTGCATCGGAACGTAATGTTCCTTAGGTACCTTTGCCGTGGGAGACGAGTGTGGGAGTGATAAAAAGGCACCAGAGTGTTGCACCCGTTAAGTACTTTAAAGATTATATTTCGTTCATGACTGTTAGCCTTGCGGGGGTCAAACGTTGTAATTAATAATGACCAAAGATTTATTCTTGACATCTGATATATAATTGGAGCAAAATATTGAAGCTACTGATAACAGTTTTTTTAAAGCATATTATACACAACTAACAAGAATAAATCTCTTTAGCTCTTAGTTGTTAGATTGGCATATAGAAATAGTATATTCGATTTTATGAAGTCCCATTTTGTTTAATTGTATATTTTATTAATTTATGTTTTCTGTTTTCTTATCGCCTTGCTCTGGGTGGTTTTCAACACTCAGGGTCTTATACCGTTGGGACAAAGCGATAAAACAAAACCTCAACAAATACAGGGGGCGATTCGGTCTGTCTCAGTCTTGCACTATCAAAAACACAAATATTCATGTAACTCTGTGTGTACCTGTGTATGTAGTCACTTCAGCATGCATTGTGTAATTCTTCTTGTCAATTTGTATAGATATCGGAGTTAACCTTTAGAGAATATGTCTTTGTATTTTTCTGATTATAATTACAGACAGCAGTATGCTAGAAAGCTAGATAAATGTTGTCATCAATTTTACCCTAAACTAATAATGAAAATTGCAAGCCGAAACAAATACAGAGAACGTCCCAGAAAGCTGAAACTTTGCCTCCGCGACGGAACAGACGGATCAGACGATGTTTTCCCTTCATATTATTTTCTGGTCCCTTTTAAGTTTACTTTTTATTTTCGTAATTTCAGTATTCCCTCTGTATGCCCGAGAGAGTTCCAATGCATTGGAAGCCAAATTTACGAAAAGCATCCACATTTAAGAGTGAAAATAGTGTATTAAATGGATAAAGTAGGTATTTGTGTGGATTTGAATTGTTGGCTTTGGCGTTTGACAAAGTTTTGAAAAAACTGTAATAACAACATGAGAAATCTTATCGTCCTGGTATTTAATGGAGTTTAGTGTAGAATGTTTGATGGTGTATCAGATAGTTAATAAATGGATGTTGTTTATGTGATGTTGCAATTGATAAAATTTATTTAGTTTAGACTTTGTGTGACTAATCATTACATTTAAAGTGTATAAAATGCCTTAAAGACATTTTATAACTTTAAGCCATCCGCTAATTGTGGAATTAACCGCTAGTAATCAGCCCCTTTATTGGTGCTGCCATTGAAAATTGTATTGTTGTCAGATGTTTGCGAAACTTCCATATATTAGTTGTTCATAACAAATGAAGCGTGCATGGTGTTTATTATCATATCAATGGGTGCCGTAGCGGTGTCGTAGGCCTCGGAATTCGACTGCGGACTCCTTAATAAAACGCATTTAAGAAATCAATACAGCTAATAAGCTTAGAACTTGGCCGCATGTTGACCGATATACTTGTGGTCACACGATTAAGAGCGACTAGTACTGCAGGCAAGGTTACGACTATGGCGGAAAACTTTATTATTTTTAAATACATGTATCATAAAATTTATTTTAATTAGTATAACACTTAAAAGAGATTTTAAAAAGTATCCTTGCAAAAAGCGTATAGTGATTGAAATAAGTGTTATAATAATTAAAAAATAGTGCATACTCATTGAAAAATAGAGAAGTTTTTTTTTTTAAGGACAGAGGAAGTAAATTTTATAACGGAAAATATTGTTATTTTTTAAATATTAATCGCACAAAATTATTTTATAAAATATGTGAAATATTTCTAAAATCATTTTCACTAGGTTGGATGAAAATAATATAAAAAAAACCTTTATTAACTGATTCCAAAGATAACTAGTGGGCTCGATTACTAGCCGTTCTTAACTAAGACCACTATATGCGTCTCCAATGAAAAAACAAAAAAACGGCTAATAAATATAACTTAAAACAGCTCACAGCCCTACAAAAATGCATCATCTAAATCTCTAAAATCCAGCGTTTTATTATTAAGAGAGCCGTAGAAACCAATTAACAATCACAGGTTATAAGCCAGCGTTATTAACATACACTTTGTTATACAGTACAAATTGGACTTCACGGGTCTGTCGGCTGCGGGAGCAGGAAGAGGTAGCTCCAGGGACGAGGAGGCTGCGGGCGGAGGAGGGGGAGACGCGAAGCCCGGGGGGAGCTCCTCGGAGTCGGCCATGTGACAGTACGGCATGGGCCGGCGCGGCAAGGGCGACGCGCGCCGGACCAGAGTCAGCTTCCTCTTGTTTTAAGACAAACGTCTTGAAACTCGTCGCCACCGCCGGCAGGACAAACGGTTGATTAAGGTGCCCATCTTTGTCTAACAATCGATTGATGAAAATGATATTATTTCATGATTGAAAGCAATGACTTACGAAGTTATTATGTCAATTATTTTGCGGCGTTTCATAAAAGGAGGTAGATAGATAGGTATGGAATATTTTGTGAACAAAATATAAACAATTTATGTTCGTGTAGTAATGATGCGTGAAAACAAAGATGCGAACCTTTTTTAAGGGTTTGTCCTGAGCGCCACAAAAGATTAGGTAGTTACTTACCTTGAAACAGGAAACATATTAGTTAGAGTAGGTACCTACTAATGTTCTAAAGACGTAGTCCATATTTTTTTATCTTTTATTTTCAGAACAATCAAGAATTATTTTCTAAGAAATATTTTGTTTAATAGTAATAGTACGTACATTGTAAAACCTTTTTGTTAACAACCGTTTGTGGCGCTATATACCGGCTAATGAGGTAATGTGTTAAATAATTGCTGTTAATACGCGATTGTTTAATGGATTGCTCCTTTTATATTTTAATTAAGATGGACAGTACGATGTAGTTATATATTTTACAGACCACTTGCGACACACAAAAAGCGTACTCAGATTTTTCATAAGGTATATTACAATTAACGCACTCTTGCGAACGCGGACGCATTTGGCTGTGGAACTAACGTATAATAATTAACATAATATTACATAGTTTTTTATATAATAATTTACTACTAGTTTTACGCCACGTCGCATTATAACTCTATAACTGTAATAGCTAGCCGATATACTATTAAAAGCTGCTGACCGTTATTACACTCAAGTAACGAATTATTTCTTGTTGTAAACGTATTGTGATTAAGTCAAAGTAAATAAAGAGTGAAAACGTACAATAATAAATACGAGATGTTGTTACACTATATATAATGTTACTCATTGTTACATTAAATACTTAAGCATTAACACAAATTATCCTATTTCTTTTATGTTATCCCTTTATACTAATTCCAAGGTGTGTTAGTATTTAATGATATGTATTTAATATTATTTCCCTTACTATAACTATCCTATAATGTATAGAAGCTTCAACCTTATGCACAATGCTCTTTCCATGTTCCTGTAGTATATTTTGTTATTATGCACGATAGCTTCTTCTTATTATTTCAGCTCTGTTTATAGAACACCCATACATGATTTGCCAAAAATAATTCAATGTTCAAACTACACAACTCGCGCATTTGATGTTACACTATGCTGATAATTGTTTTCATTTTAATTCCTGTGTAAATACATAGTCTGATGTGATACCTGAATTGCGAGCGATACAACGGTCGGGCATTGCATGACTGTGGACGAAAAAAGAACATAGCTGTGTGTTGCATGTGTGTTAATAATCGTTTTGGATGTCGTACTTCATCTTTCAGACGGGGGGATGTTTAGTATTAAGATGGGGGAACTTGACTCTGGTGGCTGAGTGTACAGCACCCACGTGGCCCGAGAAACCTGCAGTGTTATATAGACCCGGAGGAAAAACGAACGAACATGTGGCGCTATCACAGCACGTCATACCGATTGAAAACAATTAAAAATGTCAAAACTATAATAAAAACAATGTAAATAAGGTATATAAAAATAGTGCTGCGATAAAGTCACAAGACAAATTTCATTTCTTATTGTGTTCTGCATGTCAATGTGTATTGCGGCTGCTACGTGTTACGCAAACACCTCGCTCGGCATGTCGCGTCGTCTCCTGATAGCTGCAATTAGTTGGAATACCATACGGCAATAACATAACATATCAGGCGGTATAGATAAATACTACGATGTTACTAATATTGAAACGTTATTTAGTGTTTAAGTGAAATATTGTTTTTTTACAAATAATAGAATGTTTGTTAATGACTAACTAACGTGCCCTCGCTGAATAACGATCGGAATTTGTCACTAACATATGTATATGATAGTTCGCGCTACTTCAAAAATATTTAATATTTTCTTGTTTTTTTTTTTCGGTATCAAGACTAGTCTATTCATGGTTCGTTTAGAGTAAATTAGGTGTATGAGATATTATAAATGTGCATAAACGTCTACCTCTTAAGAAGGGATCGAGACCATTTAGTATATATTTATAATAAATTAGGGAGCTAGAATTAAGTTGATCGCAAAACATGTGCTTCATCACTACTCTTATTTATTCTTTTATAATAAATTTGTCTCTGGATTATGTTCTGATCTTTCGTCTCTGGTCTATATAACACTTTCTGTTTTATTTATTTTTCTGAGCCTGTGTTTAACTGTTATGATCTGTGAACACCAATATACGGTTGAAATTATATATTAAATATAAGTAAGACTATGCACATTGTACTAGAAATATCATTGCTTATTCAGGGGTTCGTTTAAAAAAACAGTCCGTAATAATTTTATAATTGTTAATATATGTAATAATTAGGTAATATAAATAAAAGTATTTGATTAATTTAATAAAGAGCTTGATCAAGCTTTATGTAAGAGTTGTGAATCGAACTTGCGGCCACGAGTATTATAATATAATAATAATAATTTTAATATGTATAAATTTTATGTTTTTAAATTTGATTTCATGTATAGATAAAGAGATAAGTATATTAAACCCTTTGTTTCAGTACACAAACTATTCTCAGGAATGTTAAATCTAGCGTTTTTTTATGGTTCAACATCGTTATTGAAAGAAAATTGTAAAGAAATGATTTAAATCAGTTCATAATTTGCAAAAGTTATTTGAGTCATTTATATTATATGAATTAGAGTTATATCTATAAATATTTTTTAAAAACATAAAATAATATTTTAAAATATTAAAATGAATAAACTATTTTATACATTGGCCCGCATGTTGTTCGAAATGTTAAAAACTTTACTAAAACGTCTTTTATCGACCTAGAATAATTATTATAATTTCATATAAAGATTATTATCGAAGTAGACTGCTAGACGCTAGCATTATAACTAGGGATACTTATGCTGCCAGCTACATGCGACACGATTCACTAGTAATATTGTAAAAGGCATAAGTAGAAAAACTATACATTTTATATGCAATAGAAGCCATCGTGCCTCGTTACGTAGTACCTTATATATAATAACCATAAAGGCAATAATCGCACATTTTATAACCATATTTAAAAGTAAAATATTCGAAGTTGTTAACACTGGACAATTTTAAATCATTAAGAAAGAATATTTACAATTTCCCGCTATTTAATGTAATTAAATCAAGAAACTATTTCAATTTAAATTCTCTCGCACGACACTATTAAAATTCTAAGATCGACTTTTTTATCGGCTATAAATCACTACTGATTAGTATAGTACCTAGTTAAACAGATTTGTGATATTAAAAGATACATTTGAAAATTAGTACAACGTCCTCGATTATTTCAAATTATTTATGTAGAAAATTTTGTAGGACACAAGAGAACACCAATATTAATCGTAATATTATTATTAAAGTAGTTTATATGAAGACGAAATAGAATGCGAGAAAGAATGAAAACATTTATGGTAAAATATTATCAGTTTCATACATTTCAGTGTAATATAACAAACATAAAAGATTCATTTTCGATAGATTTGAGTTCTCACGAAATACATATAACTCAAACCCAAGTAAATATATGAAAGTTACTTTAAATGTTACAATCGCACTGTTTTTAGTTAAATCTAATGATCAGTACAATAAATAAATATATTTTTATTCTGTTTTTTGTACAAACGATCGAAAGCCTGACGGTGAAACCCCCGAAAAGTAATGTTGTAAATATTCTAAATAGTATAAGCGAATGATTAGATAATCGAATCAATTTAAGAATAATATAATTATAAGAGCGAAATAATTAGTATTGACAAGAAACTGTTGTGATCGTTATAATATATTCAAAGTTGCATTTTCATTAAATTAAATAAAATATAAATAAATTAGTAATATATTTTCCATAGTGCTGCCAAAAGTTTTAATATAAATAGTTGTAGTATTGTTGTATATGTAACGGGATATTTCGAGGTTGTAACTGTAAGTGGATTGTATTTCAATGTTCCGATGTAAGTGAATTATGGCATTGTATTGTGTGTGTCGACGGCGTTGTTTGTGATACACTATGTTAATACCGCGTCGAGTATCGGTGTTCACAAACAGCGTTTTGATTAGCGACATTATTTATTCTGCATATAATAAAAAATTCTTATGAAGTAATGTGTTTCATTTAATTTTTATCCAATTGATTAAAATACGTGCAAATAATTTGACATACTTCTCTATGTTTTGTTTTTGAAATAAACGATCCACAATTTTTAATTTCAAATAAACCTTTTGCTTTCCGTTTAAGGACAAAAATTATTAAGAATAAATGTTATATATGTTACAAGCTTATTTTAATTCAATTGCAATTTTTATTAATTAATTTCACAAAATCCTGCTTTTTATGCACTAATAAGTTATCTAAGTTAAGGAAATTTGGTATAAAATTAAACAAATGATTCCTATATATTACGTATTTATTTATATTTATTCAAAGGTACAATATATTACATCGTTTCAACTTTGCCCTCCACACATCCTCCGTAGTGACTAAGCAAATAATCAATTGGTAATGGGTACAGACCCTACACAAAATACAAAAAATTAAGCAAGTACTTATACCCTACATCTAATATAACACGGAAGTCAATACTGTGTTAGGAAACAATACAAAAAAAAATATTCATGGCATTTCGATTAAATAAAGATTATGCATTTGTCATAAATTAAGGGGATAGACATTATAATAGTGACGTGCATACAGAACGGCGTCGACGACTAACCAAAATATTTACAGGGGACTACATTACGTAGGAAACTATCTGATACTTAATATAACGTAATAAAGTTATGCATTTATAACAGGATAGGATTATTTCATTTAACATACTACTATAAAGAAAAGCCAGCGTTACTCGATATCGGCGAACCTCATGTCCAATCATCATACCCTTAGATATTACAAAGTAACTAACACCTAGCTAGAGCTAAGGCCCTAACTCACACTATGAGCATATTAATATCACTAAGCCTCATATACATGTATATGAAGCCTTACGCCCAGATATCCAAAGATAAGCTGAACTCGAAACACCGTATTTTTATAGGGTAAAAAATATCTAAACAACTTTTAAAATGTATCTCGTCTATGTCTCGCACAACTACAGCTCTTTAAATCTATTAAAACTTCAAGATATAATCGTTCTCATGCATAGAAAAAATTCTACAATAATCATGAATAGTGCCTATAATTAATTATTTCACACAGATTTGAGCTGGAATCACTTCGCGTTAATTTTATATGTCAGCTATAGCATTTTATATGAATGATCAATAAAACTGTCGATCGAAGCTGTTATTACAAGCTACTTTGGCAACATCGTGGACGCAACAAGTCTCAAGCTGTAAGAAAATTGTGCTTCACAAATAGCATATAAAAATTCTAAAATCCAAAATCATTGTAGAATACATTGATATAAAAAAAAAGCAATTTTCTTTTTGTCAAATACGCCTGAAACAGTCCAAAATTAGGCCAAACTTATCAAAATAAATGCTTTGTCATGGAAAAATACTTAATAATAAATTTAAATAACACAATATTGTTACATTCATAGTCAAATATTTCCTTATAATTTTTTACTCATTGTTAGTCTCTCAAAATCGTTGTGTCAATAGTTATACAATACAATACAATACTGGTATTATGTCAGAAATCTTCAACTTACTCTATATTGATATCCCCGATGTGACATTTTTAAATGACCAATCTGAAATTTGTAATAAATACAAATATTCAACTTCATGGATATGAAATCAAAAAAAAATAAGTAAACATTGAAGTATGTAAAAGAAAAGAAAAATAATATAAATATTGTTACCGTCAAAAAAAATTAATAAATATTATAAGAATATAACATTTTCACAATCAAGGATCCATGCTCAATGTTAACATTTCACGTATATACAGGAAATATAGGAATAAATCCTAAAAAACATTAGTTCAGATAATTTACAATACATAGACCGGGTCAAATTGTTAATAGATAAACGAATACCACATTCCTTTAGAATACAAAACACGAAGAACAGCGACATCAGACGTTTCAATGGCACTACGTTAAACAATAAGTTATAAATCTCGTGAAATCTCAAAGTATGGCCAGTCCTAAGAAAATTACAAGGTACGTTTCTTCAACACATTACGATATGTAGAGTATATACCTTGAAAATATAAAAACCCATTAACATATAGTTATGTACAACGAAAAAGTATAGTTATAGCCATTATTGAAGCATACATGCCTCGCTGCAGTATGATGTATCACATGTATCAATTTATTATCAATATGTATGAGCGTTTCTCGAATGTTCTGAGAGAAGCATGTAGTGGAGCCCGTTGTTAGTCACTCGATAACGATGGCTGCGAAGCCGACGAATGTACGCGATTTAAAACAAACCTTTCTTTTTCTTGTCTTTCTTATCCTTTCCATCGACCGTCCTGAAATTAAAATTACGATCAGATATATTATTTTGACAATTAACTATTAATACGCATGTAAAGTTAGAAGCCGTATTAGTATATTGGCTCGGGGCTGCGAGTGTTATACGGTGGTGAGTATGTTATTATGACAACAGTGTGGTAGCTAATGTCCAAAGCTTTATCAGCCACCTTTAAGCTCTGGGCTACGTACGTCGCGTTAACGGTACACCAGCAGCCCGTCCTCCTTTAAAAGAACAACCAAAAAAAACGTAACTCAAAGCTCCTCTATTAACACAGCGACTTATTGTTAATATCGTGGCGTCGTAGCGAAAACAAATCATTAGATATTTAAATATACAAAAATTATCTTTTTGTTATATAAAAAATGCAAAAAAAAACAGTTAGTATGTATGCTAAGTGTTACTTCAATTAAACACGCTGTTCGAATAAGGCAAAAATTTAAAAAAATAAAACCTTCATTGCAAAAGAATTATAAAAACTTTTCTTTTTAAGGTAAAACTTGGTCTTCATCATTAATGAGTGATAATAATCTAAAGGATCACTTAACCCCACAACGTTAAATCATCATTCGTTTTATTCATCACGGCTCTTTACATAACAAACAGATCGATACCTCCCACATAAGTTATTGTAAGCCACAAAAATGCTATTTTGCTTTTTTTTTTCGAAAAAATATCCTATTATGGATCATTACATTCATTCAAAGTAAAAAAAACAACAAAAAACACTATTTTTAAAGGGTTTGTCAGACGCATAATGTTGTAATTTTCAAACTCGAACGGATTAAACTGATTTATATGCCTATGCAACTGTATACGCGGGGTGCGGGGTGGGTAAAATCAAGCGCTCGCGCCGCGTATGAGTTACATACAACAGAGTAAGACTTAACGTTTTTCAACGTATACAGTTGTAACTATCATATACCACAGTTGATGCTACCTGGGCGCCGCGGCATAATGTTGTTAGTATCAGATACAACACCTTTTTTAGCTTCTACCCCGGGGGTAAAATGTCGTATGAACAATATAACAACAATATCTCCCCAAATAGGCACATTAATTAAAATATCTTTTTAATGTAGTTGAGAAGACTATAAGGTTAAATTTAAATACCAAATTTTAAAAAGATGCATTAATAAAAGCAGATTTTGGTTTAATTTGAACCTTTGAAACGCTCTACTGTAAAATTACACTTTTGGAGATACAACAACTTACGTGGGAGGTCTCGAGATATATTCACATATTTGCATACACACTAAAGTCCCACGTAATTCACTCCTTAGTTCTCATTAAGATCTAAAACTTCTGAACAAAAATGTACATACTTGATTAAATCTCTTTCCATCTCTCTTCCTTCACCTATATCTCTCTCACTCTTTCACTCTTTCTGTATCCTTCCTTCACCCCCCCCCCCCCTCTACTCACTCCTTGCTGTTGGCCTCAAGCGACCTCCTACGCAGATCATCGAGCGAGAGCCCTGTGTCCCTCTCCCAGGCGGCCTGCTCGGCCCGGAGCGCTCGCTGCCTCTCCTCCAGGTCCCGGGCCTGGGCCTCGAGCGCACGCCGCGTGGCCTCGTGCCGCCGAGCCAGCTCTGCTTCGGACTCCTTCAACTTGGCGTGCTTCTCGCGAGCCTTCTGATCGAACACCTGGAAGAAAGTATTACATATGAGATAATTATGAATGCCTCTCTTAATAAACGCTTCAAATTAAGGTCACATAAAGGTTATTTTCTTCAGTAAATTAAATATGAAGATTATAGTATATACATCGAAGAAGAGAGCCAAATGATTTTCTTATCTATTAATTTATATGTTACTATACAGGGTGACTGGTGAATTACTATCAATATTTAAGGAGCATACTCGGTACATGATTCTCATTCGAATTATGTAAAAAAAATAGGTACTTAATTTTTGACAAAATTTCCGTATAAATAAATAAAGTGTTGACACTTTCCAAGTGTTCCAAGTGTGGACGCGTCGGCGGCGTGCTGATACAAAACCACGCCCCCACCGCGTGTGTGTGAGTGTGTGTATATACCTAGTCTGTAGGGTGTTTACACGATGCGTAATTAATTTCATAACTTTTGGTTAACTTTACTCAGAAGTTTATTAATATTTATGTTATATTAATTTTTATTTTGTCATATATGATCGTCAAATATCACGTCCTCAAGTATCGATAGTAATTCACCAGTCACCCTGTATATTATGCTACTAGCTTTCCGCCTGCAGCTTCGCCCGTGTGGAGTTTGGTAATATCGCGTTTCCAAGAGAACCTTTCAAAAGTCTGGGATAAAAACTACAATATGTTCTTTCTCGAGGTCAACTCTATCTCTGAATCAAATTTCAATAAAATCAGTTCAGTGGTTTAGGCGTGAAAGCGGAACAGACAGAGTTACATTCGCATTTATAATATTAGTAGGGAAGTATATCGAAAACAGAAGTCTATCAAAATTCATAATAGAAGTAATCGTTTCCGTTTGTTGATTATGCAATGATCGTGTTGGACGTTAATTCTTGATCCTAACGAAATATCAAATAGACATAACCATATATGCCATACATTCGTATCCGCGAAGTGTTACATCCGCTATGTTTGAAAATGTATTCAGTGGAAGCGGAAACAGTGTCCTAAATGATACAAATTGAATAATGTTACGTCTAGCACATCGTAGCAACAAAGCTAGGTCGTTATATGCCGGAGATTGCAAGTTGACTCCTACTCGCGTGGAATAATTATTCATCATTTATTTTATATGTGAATTCCAGTATATTTTAAAAAATATGGTTCAGAAGAACATAAATATATGACTTCTTATAACTATCAGAATTTACATCAAAAGTAAAATATTTATTAATGTGTTATTAAAAAAACAATTCCGGATATTTTTTGTATTCCATTAAAATGTTTGTTCTCTGTATTAAGACAGTACAGTTTCACACAAACTTCTATGTTCTAATTGTCAATATTTCTGAGATCTAAGCCTTTAGCGTGTGTTCATTATATGAAACTAATCTTTCGGATTACTACGCGTATTTTATTATTTTTATCATACAAGACCAACTGACAGACATTCATACGTCGTCTGTCCTAGATCACCGTGGCTGCAAAGTAACCAACAAGTCGGGAGTACCTATGTACTTTTTAAAAATCATAAATTACGCATTATAATCCGATAATATTAGTTTCATTTACATTATCTGAATGATAAATATCCAAAATAAATACCTGTTCCATTTCACATTCCATCTTCTTCATTTTGAGATCATGCTCTCTTTTCTCTTCTTCCATCTGAGCTAATGGATTCCTGAGAACAAATTTACATAACATAAAAATAAACATATAAAAAATATTTCATACAAATCAATATACAAGTATTACTATATTGGAATCGCGTTATACACTAAAATTACACTCTGATTGTTTCATGCAGACTGCATGGGGTCAATTCACACACATGTATCCACTTTACTATATATCTGCTTATACATTATTCAGTGTATATACAAAACAATCTTAGGTAATCGACAAAGGATATAATAAAAATATTTATTTTATTTTTTTTTATATACTTTTAAAATATTATATACTTAGTTCAATGAAATGTGCTATCAATACATTTATATAAATTTCTAATTAACTACTGAACAGCAACAATATAAAACTACCAATAAATTCATGCAATAAAGATTATAAGAGTGCATATACACATAAATTCACACAACTACAATGATAAAACCCCGTGCTCTATATAATAAACACACACTATGTATGTGTGAGTGAACTTACCACACGGTCATGAAACTGTTCATCAGTCCTTGCGGGCAGAAACTGAATACCAACAACTGTTGTTAAAACAACACGCGGCCACACACGCTACAGTGGCATTAGCAACAGTGCAATGTGACTTATTCTTAATGTAATAGAGTTATTAGGTGTACAACTTTGCTTCCGCCGTTTTTTTCCGAAATTCGAGGCTTTATTGTAAAAAACTGGTTAGACATTTATGATTCAAAGTATTGTCCATCGCTGGCCACTACTTTCTCCCATCTTTCGGGCAGCATACGAATCCCGCGTTGAAAAAAAACTGGTCATCTTTTGAAGCGATCCACAAATAGATCCAATTTTTAACTTCTTCATAAGATCGGAAGTGCTGGTCAGCCAGGCCGTGTGCCATTGATCGAAACAAGTGATAGTCCGAGGGAGCAACGTCTGGAGAATACGGCGGGTGGGGTAGAACTTCCCATTTCAACGTTTCCAAGTATGTCTTGACCACTTTCGCAACACGGGGTCGAGCTTTGTCGTGCTGTAAAATCACTTTAACATGTATCTCGTTGTATTGCGGCCATTTGTCTTTGAATGCTCGGCTCAAACTCATTAATTGTGCTCGATAACTATCGCCTGTGGTTGTTTCAGTCGGTTTTAACAACTTATAATGCACTACGCCGAGGTGTTCCCACCAAATACAGAGCATACCTTGGAATCGTGAATATTCGATTTGGCCGTCGACGTGGAAGCATGGCCGTGATATCCCCATAATTTTCTGCGCTTAGAATTATCGTAATGAACCCATTTTTCGTCCCCAGTCACAATGCGATGCAGAAATCCTTTCCGTCTTTGCCTTGCAAGCAGCTATTCACAAGCAAACAAACGCCGTTCAACATCTCTCGGCTGCAACTCGTACGGCACCCAATTTCCATGTTTCTGAATCATTCCCATGACTTTCAGGCATTTTGAAGTGGCTTGTTACATCACTCCCAATGATCCTGCCAATTATTGTTGCATTTGACACGAGTCTTGATCAAGTAATGCCACCAATTCTGCATCTTCGAAAACCTTCTCTCTTCCACCGCCATGCCGGTCTTCGACGTCTAAATCACAGTTCTTGGAGCGTTGAAACCACTCTCGGCACGTTCTTTCTCTAATAGCAGCCTCACCATAGGTATTTGAGAGCATTCCATGAGCCTCAGCCGCAGATTTCTTCATATTAAAGCAGAAAATTAAAACCTCCCGCAAATGACGAGAATTTGGCTCGTAAGCTGACATGTTTAATCGAGAATAACTTTCTGATGCAGAGACAAATCGACTAATATTTCGATGGCGTTATGTTTACAAATGCCTAAGCTATTGTATGACATCAACGATCTATTTATTTCGACTACCACTTTCCGCTATAACCATCTATTGCAAAACGGCGGAAGCAAAGTTGTACACCTATGTAATTTTGCAATGTATATGATAGTACAGAAAACGAAGCACACAATGAGCGCTGTCTGATAGGATTGTATCGTATGAACAATAACAATGGTGCATGATTGTGAGTCACGTTCACATCTGCGCTACATGTAATGTAAATAATGAACAATAAACTGTTATTAATGCCACTGGAGAAGCGCATGAATCGAATAATCATTATGATTAATGAGGTTTTTGTCACGGACATTTTAAATGATATTTCCATTTGGTATGTTAAAAATTTGCATTGATATGCAAAGCTAGAAACGTTAGTCAAAAAAAAAAAAATGATCCATGGCAAAATAAAGAAGAAGTTCATTTCTGCATGCCCAAGCACAACATTCATAAGACAAAGAATGTATTTAACTATAGCGCTATATTCAAAAAGAAAAAAAACATTGACGAGTCAAAAGGTTAGATAGAAATAAATACACCGTTATTAAGATGACCAGACATGCAGCAATGAATTTATCGTATATAAATTTTAACATAATATATTCAGTTGTAAGTTAGACAGTTAATAATAATTTTCAATATATAGATAAGTCTGGTCACCTAGTAGCGGTGACTGCAGTCTTACAGATACATATCGTAATCAATACCAACCAAGTCTACAGAGGTTGTTAGTCCATGCCTCATCGAACATCTATTCCGTTAACTGGCAAAATAATACGCTGAACGAATTAATAAACCAAATCCATTTAGAAACACAGATTTTTATGAATAGAAGAATCGAAATCAATAAAGGAGTCACATAATAGAATAATTTGTTATCCTAAACATGAGGCTTCATTCACTACGTGTTAACAATTAGTATATATGTATGTATATATTATATAATGAGTTTATTTACTTGTTGGAGTTTAGTCCGTGTGGCTGTCCGTCGTGTGTTTAGACCGGCCAGTTTGCGGCATCGGTAGTTCTCATAGTGGACTGAGCTAGTAACATCTTTGAGGTCTTGCAGATGTGTACGAATCACCATATTACGTAGCGCCAGGAAGTCACAATGCTCCAAATTCTCCACTGGAATGTAAATTAGTATATAAAATTAACAATTATATAGATATCTCAGTAGAAACTAAAATTATACGGATTTTATTCATTCTAAATCGAAGTGTTTTTTATTTAAATATTTTATGACAGTTATATTTTATTGAATACATTCATCTTTCTTAAATTTTAAATTAAAATTGCTAATATAACGGATGTTTTCTTGTTATGTGATACGTCTGAATAAACCAAATTGCTTGATCAAAATGCGTCCGGCGTATGACGTGTGTAATTGACTGTCCATCAACATTATAGCATCTAAATATACAGTACGGTGACGAAGTTATTCGCAATAATAATTTTGTTATGAATTTATTTTGTAAATATTTTATATTGTAACCATATATACATATGTAAGACTCAATTTACATGTTTTGTTTTCATATAGGTCATATCGAAAGAATAATAAAGAGAATATCACGAGGAAATAAAACAATAATAGTATCATAAAAATAAAAGAGTAATTACAATTTTTTATTACATATAGCTATTCAGTATGTAATGTTGAGACATAAAATATGTATGCATGTATGTTCATGAATAAAAAGCGAACATTCCATGACACCTTTACACACTAGTATATTTCATATAATCTCAGTGATGTAAAATAAAAAGATCTTAGGGTATAAATAATATGTAATGATTATTACATATCTGATATAGTATATAGCGAAACTATCATTATAATGATAACTACTTTTTTAGTTGTCTGGAACAGATAGTTTGTTCGTAAATTTTTATCTAATATAATTCTAATTATTATTGTTATTTATATATTGTACCTTCAGCTATACCCCAGGGGTACTTCCGTCCCCTTATTCTCCGTCCATCTTGTTCTATGACCGTGTTCGCCCCCACCACAGCGAAGGGTACACGTGCTCGCAGCGCGCGGTTTGTGTCCGCCCCCTCCCCCTCCTCGCCCGTGCTCTCCGGGAACTCGTATATCTTTATCTTGTGCTGAGCTATCTCCTTTAATATCTGGAATGAGATATATAACATATATATGATGGTTATAGGATGTTTTAGAAATAGTGTTCAGTTAATAGTAATCACATGACATATATAAGATGTTTAAGAAATATTGTTCAGTAAATAGTAATCACAGTTTGGTTTTATATACAAAGACGTCAGTACATGTTTGTAATTAAAAGTAATGTTTTTTGACGTATGCTTAAAATTGGTCTGCCCGTGATCACGGTTGCTGTAAAGTAAGCGAAACATCGGGTGTATGTAGTTTATAATAAAAATCTCGTAGTAAATCCGAAAATGTCAGATTCATTTAGATGCTTAAAATTTCTTTGACATACACAAACATTAAACAGACTGAAACTAAATGCATGAGACCATAGAATATACAATATCAGAATACTTTATAGGTATGAAAGAAATATTAGGTATAAGGATATTTTTCATATAATATCTCAGTCGTACCTGTTCTTTGAAGTCCTTACACTCTTCAGGTGTCATAGTATCGGCTTTAGCGATGACTGGTATGATGTTGACTTTATCCCCGAGCCGTTGCATGAACTCTACGTCTAGCGGTTTGAGGCCGTGTCCGCTGGGCGCTATGAAGTAAAAGGCAGCAATGCACTCGCGTGTCGGCCGGAGCAGCCTTTCGGGTAACACGAGACTCCGCATTCAGAAATTCTTCGTACTTCGATTCAACGAAATCGATTATCGGTTGCCAGCTAGAACAATTTAATATATATTTTTAAATACGTATATATTATTTATTTCAACAATTATGACCAATTAAAGCCGATATATCACAATTCACTAGGAACTATACTTTTTATATTCAAATATATAATGGTTTCTGATATTACTATAAATCGTAAAAAATAGTAAAAACTGACCGGCATTGACCGGTGTCGTTAGTTCGTTATTTAAAAAAACTAGTTTTGCACGTTATGTGCCAAATTGGGGCATTCACGTCGACCGGTTTAAAATTAGTCGCGCGAAAAAAAATTGGGTTATTACGATTCGCCGTTAATGGACAAAAAACCAAATGATATATACATGATTATAGATTTCTCGAAATTTGATACACGGAATATAAAGAACATCAAATAACAAGATAGTGTGATTTAAAAATTTTATTAATAAATATGACGGAGGTTTTATTATTATACTGATAATTATGAGAAATACTGAATAGATTTCCAAATATATTGCATTATTATAACGTCGGTTTTATAATTCATAGCGAAATAGGTAGAAAAACATATGTACCACTGTACATACATATGTATATTCATTTATATTACAATTATATTATAATTAATTGTTTATAACCAATAGTTATCCGTACGTGAATGTATTTATATGCAGTAGTATAATTACACTGATATCGATAACCTCAATGTTGAAATCTTTTGCTAGTTAAAATCACTATAGTGTATACGTGTAACCAATATCAATACTATTATGTACCAATTGCTGTTGTCGACCGCGTCTCCAAAGCCGGGTGTATCGACTATGGTAAGGGTCAAATTGACCCCGTTCTCCTTCAACAAGACCACGCTCGTCTCAACGCCGACCGTCTTCTTGACTCGTAGCGATGGACCCGGATGCTTGTCCTTGTCGTAAACTTCCGTTAGGAATAATGAGTTGATTAGCGTTGATTTGCCCAATCCCGTCTCGCCTGTAATATTAGAGGAAGCATTTGATGATAAATTAAAATGATCGTTATCTAAACCAGGTATTACAGTTTAAAGCGTTTCCTTACCTACAACCATTAACGTGAATTCGAAACCCTTTTTCACAGCTTTCCTATAGACTTGGTTGGGTAGATTCGCAAACCCCACATATCCATCTAATTCTTTGGTTTTTGGTTTTTCTATCTTAGGTAGATCTGGTTTTGGAGCGACCGGTGGGTGGTCAGATTTCTGGAAATACAAATATATTTTTTTAATAAATCACTTAAACATTTTGAATACGTGTAAAGTAGCAGTATTATCAATATATTACCTTCATGATATTCTCCGTACTTCTCAGTGGTGCGGAGACTGGTGGTGGGGCGGTGGTAGGCACGGGTGGTGCTGGCATCTGTGGTGGCATCGAGTTTATCTTGCCGGTATCCACGGACACGCTATTGCTGAGTTTTGAAGCCGGGGCTGTACCGTTGGCCTCATGATGACTGTTCTCCGGCGGATCTGGCAGGGTTGCGGATCTCTTCGCGAGCGCCTCCTTGAGGGCTGAGGAACCCAGCGGCGGAGCGGGCGGCGCTGCAGTCGACAACCCTGTAGCGCTCACCCCGCCGCCGCTCACCGTATCCGATTTGAAGAACAGCTCACGCTTACTCTGTAACTATAAACGATAATAACATTAAAATTAGCATTTCTTACAGCACCATATTAGGTAAGAACAGTTCTATAGTATTAGTTTAAGTTAATGATCGCGATCTTAAATCGAATAACCAGCTGTTGTCAAAGAATATAAAGTTTGTATAAACGTTTTGAAATATTGTAAGTACTGTGATCATAATGGGTACCGGTATATCAGCGCTTGTCTTAAATATATACATCGCAAGTATACAGTATTGTTAAGTGTAGTCGGCTCCAGCAAGGCGTCTGATGACTCACCGATATCAAGGCGAGTTTTTCTACAATGCTCACAATTTATAAACATATATAACTATTGACTATAGACGACTTACTAAATACATTACAATATGACTGGCTTATTCTCAGACAATGTTCATTAAGATTCGACTAAATCTTGTCATAACTGTATTACATAACATTACTAAATCATGTAACAATTCATAAATTAGCAGGTATTAAAAAAATATTTCGTAAGAAATGTTAATAACATTCTTAACATATTTTTGTGGCATTACAATCATGATTAGTCTACTTTTAATTTCTTAGAAGAAAAAAACAATCATCAACGGGTTGATTCACTCACACAAGTGAATCACTTTGAAAGATCCTCGGTCGATACTAATGAGGGCAAACGCGGCTCAAGCGCGCTTGTAAATATTATACGCATGTTTTACAACGGCGCCTTATTGCAAATAAGTACACAGTAATAAAACGACACCAGTACCGTTAACATAAAAAGGTGTTATTTCAAATTTTTATTTAACGTTCAAATTGAATACAAAAGACGATAATAAAACACTGGTTGGAAAATATACACTAACGAGCTGACAATTGTTGCGACTGGTGCTATTTGAAGTTGAAGAAAACATTTAGATTATATGAAAGTAAAATTACCATATCTTTTCTAAGAGCTAGCAACGCGGTGCACGCGAGGGAGTTTTCGCTAAGCCGACAACTGTATTCTCGGACTAAATTCAAAATGGATATCCGTCGCATTACACATGCTACACACGTTGAACCTTTCTTGTTATTGACAACATCAGAATTATTCATTGATATAATTTAATTATAATAAAGTTTGTTGCGACGCTTTCTTCACTGATAACCAATTCAGAATGCAATTTACTTTGAATGATTGCTGTATAGAAGCCGCTCGCCGTCTTCCGGTGTTTACCAGAGCACAAACATTTTGCTCTACAACGTAAATAATATCAATGGCATTCAGCATCGGTGAAGCATTTGTTTGTTTTCATTGACGGCGCTTGTAAACAATCTACTTTATACAATTTGTGCACAATGAGTCAATGCATATGGTTATAAATTTCATGTCAGCTATTAAACTCAATCGATACCCAACAAGTTTTAAATATAATTAGTATAGAAATATTAAATGTCTTACATCCGAAGTTTCAAAACACTCTTTCTGATTGGCACGTTTGTTTTTATGTTTGACACTGAACAATCGTTTAATACCTTTATACATTATGAATAGAAACACTTTAAATTTACATATCTCAATTTAATTTAATTAGTTTGTCCAGTGAAACGGTCAAGCGACGAGGAAAAACTAAACACAAACGTTTAAATATACCTTGTATGTAGAGGAAAATGAGTACATCAAACGTAAGACTAACCTTGTTCTAATGACGCTCAGACAATCTAAGCTAAACCAATTTTACTCACAATACTTGTTTACATAATAACAGACGAACGCATTTCAGTGACTAATAGTTGAACAACGTTTAGTGATTTGTGTTAAACACATTGGTCCAAATTAGTTAGCGGGACTGTATACGTAACTTATATGTACATAGTCATAATATACATGTAGATGTGTTTTCATCGAGCGACAAAACCGATGAAGCAGCTAACGATGCGCAACATTAATTTACGTCACGTCACAATAACCAATATTGCAGGGGACAATGCCTTTGTTAGATATAGATTGGCTTGGATATTTTTAACAAATTAATGTAGTCCTTGTATATTGTACATCAGAAGTGATGGTCTCTAGATGATTAAGAAAATATCACTACTATATTCATTTTAATATGTATCGTCGTATTGTTAAATTGCCTATCATACATGTATGACATAAATTGCTCTTGCAGATGCACCTGCCCAGTAGGTGTACTTACTTCAGTACGTTACATAAGCACCGCTAGAATGAATCATCATACTCATACGAATGGATGACCTGAATAATAAAATCACTCATAAAACGTATCGAGGTAAGTCAAACCATTGTAAGTAGAGTAAGTAGGACTTGTAAATACATTTCGTATAAGTAGTTTCTTATAGTTGGCTATTATAGTTGCAAAGTTATAAGTTATTTGTTAAAGAGAATTTTATTTGAATAGATTAGAATAATTAGTAATACTCTCTTCACGACTTTCTGGCCGACAAACGCCGTCGTCGGATATGGCTTGGATATAATAATATATAACTTATGATTTATAAAATTGTTTTAACTAAGAAAGTTGAATCATGAGGCGTTATTTCATTGTATTTATCCTTCCTTCCCTCTATGTTGCCTAATAATTAATAGTTGAGCTTATTATTTTTAACGACTTCAACATATTAATACCATTTTTTATAATTACTGAATTTATTCGCGTAATTTTAAATAATTTCATTATAAATCTATCGTACCAATCGAACTGCGCATTAAAATGAAATGAGGTTAACTAATGTGAGGCAACTTTGATTTTCCGTAACGCGAAAGGAAATAATAATCCTCGTGCCAAATGAAGGAGAAACTAGTTGGCAACATTTTATCGTATCCAGTCAACCTGGACCGACAAAAAATGTATTTAATAGCGATGTGAGGAAACACATTACCTCAGAGTGAGTCATCGACTCCGCTGCAACCAATCTGGTAAACGACAATTCCTTATTCATATAAATCTTACATTTGGTGTTCTTTGTTTTCAACACAATAGCTGGTTGACTGGAATATCAGTTACAGTACTTGCTCAGTAACGTCTTTCAAACTTAACGCTTCTTTAAATCCGAACTATTCTCGTTTTGAACGAAAATTTTTCATATTTTCTATGAATAAGTTTGTTTTATATGTATTGTCCGTTACCCGGTCGTCTTACCCAGCTATGTTTGTTTTCAAAACAAAGCTACCGTTTCTACGGGAAGTAAACCTTAACGGGCAAGCGCACGTGCGTCAAACGTCTATCCGCTACCGATGGTTCAAGCAACTCATTAATACATATATACTTCTACACCTTTTTTAAGCTTAATAAATAAGAGGCTCGAAGATGTTGCTTTAAAATCTCATAGATAGAAGAAAAATACCATCGTAAGAGACAAATCATACGATAAATATTGTATAAAATGGTACATACAGATACTAACTATGAAAATACATAAACAATACGATATAATCAACAATATTTCAAACATATAAGACAATATATATTATTTAGGTCGGTATCGGTTCATTTAACGTCACTTTCTCCGTACATTTCTCGGTAACTGCTCTTAACATGCAATTGGTGTGGAGGTTTTAACTTATAATCCAAATATGCATTAATATTGCATATCTAGAAATATTTACAGTGGTAATAGTTATCTTATAGAGCAATAATAATGTTAAAATGTCACAAATATATAATATTCTTTCTTCAGATAAATTATTAATTGTACTACCGAACGATGCAACATACAAGTTCGTTTATCTTAAGCAAGGTGGGTGTTAAACACTGATGCGTAGGTAAACCAGACTTACTGGAGAATGAAACGATTCAAATAGCCCACAGGAGATGATACAGCATGAACTGTCTATTAAGATAATATAAATTTTTAATAACATTTATTGTTTTTAAGAGACTTTATTCCTTAAAAATATTGTCCCTTCCTTATATTATATGCAAAAGCGGCATTCAATAAGTTGATCATTTTAATCTCCTACATGCAAGAAATCAGATATGAAACTAAACATCAGCAATTTCATAATATCACATGTCGTGTTGTATGTATGTATGGAGCTGGTAAATCAGAATGCTTATTGGTCGTCCAACACCGACTTGGTACTATCTTCAATGAATTATTCATATGATAATGTAATGTGAAGCAAACGAAGTTAGAGAAGCAAAACGTACCGAACGCTGACTTGATACCAATATGTGACGATCATGCCAAATAATTGTGTGAATTTTGCTTTGATCGAGTCAATGAACTTGAAAATGTTGTTTTTCATATTGTTCTTGCACCTTTACGAACAATTTGGTTGATGTTCGCGGGATAGAGTGGATCACATACAATTAAGTGCAAATTACTATTCGACCCGGACTCCTTAATTGAGGTTAAATTAATTATATCACATCATTAGTGTCAACTGGCCACATCTACACCTTATGTAACAGAAATTGAGTCAAAGATTGAAATGACAAAGAACTAGCAAAGGAAATTTTTAAAATGTATAAAAATAAATCAATGAAACTATATTTGGAATAGAATGTGTTCCAGACAAACCGACGCGGTTATAATTCTGTTGTTAACTATTTAAAGTTTCGTCAGTCTGACAGATTAAAAACATATCTTTATTTGAAGTGCCGTTTAGGTTAAAACTATTTTAAAATGAACTGTAAATGAAACTTAAGCAATCTATAATAAGAACGTTTGAGTTTGTTCCAGTTTGTTTGCTTTCCACTCGTGAAAGCGTCGTGAACATTAGCCTTAGAAACATAATTATAGACTGACTATTGTTCATTATTCCGAATAAGTGTGAGTTTCTATAATACGACTCCGTGAGACATTCGCTAGTAGATAAAGCGGGGAACTGAGACGCCAAATGCGTTTGTGACTTATTACAAGAACGAGTCAACGACCCATTCACCAAGTATAGAAAATGGATACACATTGATTTATTAGAGAACGGGGCTGAGGGAATATAAATAAAAACTTAAATAGATTTATAAGAAAAATAACAAAATACGACAGGGGCGTGGACTGTGTCTCACAACTGTAACAACAAATACTTTAACACGATTTTGTAACGATTCAACAAGTATCGGAATTTTTACACTTAAAACAATAAAATTTATAATTAAGAGTATGCTAGTACATTATAGTACAAAGTTTTACTATAATAAATTTTAAAAATAATTATAAAATATTCATTGAAGTAATTTACAAGTTAATAAGTAACAATTCAGGTTTAATAATTCCAGGCGCCATATAACAGACACAAACAAAATGGGACCTCTTGACGCTCAGATGTCGCGTCGCTCGAATGATTGATGGTAAATCAATACGTCCATTAACCACAATAATTAATATCGATATACTTTGAGAACAGTACTGTTTCATACCTCGGCCTTCCTTCTAAGTGACAAGTTTCTCCATATTTCACGAGGACTCGTCCATCCTACTTTTGTTTTGTCAATACCACAGTCACCGACACTACTGGCACAGCGATTCAATTTAGTTACGTTCGACGAACCGTTAGTTACATTTGCCATTTTAACACAATAAGTACTAGCGATGCTAACACTTAAAAAGCTTTGTTACACACACAAACTTGATTATTTCTTTGCCATACAGCATAGTATGTTACTTGGCTTACGTCTCACAATTCACCTCGACCACTAAATATTATAGCATTTATCGCTGCTTGGCAGCTTTGAACACAAAACATCAATTTCACGTTATCTATAGATTGTTATAATTAATCGTCCTGATAATTTGAATTCTAATCACTCAGTATAACTATTTTCAAAGGATTTTAACCATTGTATTAAAGTAGTAGACTGTTTTAACCTGAAGCAATCTCACGTCTGTATCAGTTTGAGGTTAAGTTACCGGCATTACCGGCTGTCGGCACACAAGCGCCCCATTGAGGTCCCGACACACGACGCGAAAAAAAACGCAAACAGATGTTTAAGAACATTTACTTCACCAGTAATATAATACTATAAAATAATATTCATCCGGGGTTAAAGAGTTCTTTATTAACTTCACTTTAATATTACGGTAGGCTTTCACCATCTTAATAAACACACTGTAAATGATGCACTTCAAGATAGTTACTTGAAAATAGTATTCTAAAATATATAAATGAAATCACAGAACTAAAAGTCGATACGTGTGTTTAGACTGGCAGGTACCAGTTAATTATGTCTATGTATACGTATAGACGTAAAAGGATCCCGGGTCCGTCACACTTATACCCACCAGACGTACAAAAGCAAGGACGGATAGATTAAAAGACGATAACTTCATAATCTTATTAAGTTAACTTGAGTCGTAAATTGATAGTCTCAAAGTTGAGAATTGATTGTAATCACTCGTTGGATTTTACCTTTTAACCACAACATGCAAGAAGAGAACGTGCCCTAACCGCTTTTGCTGGTTCGTGAAAAAGTTTAAAACTTAAACCAATTCAGTTCTTCAAAGAATTATATTCGCTACCAATACATACTTATAATTTAAAAGCTTCAGACATTGTGCGAGCTTCAAAGGACATAGCATCTTGAACGCACATCGTAAAATTGTTATTTATGGAAGTAATGAGTAATTTAAACACAGAATAACTCTCATTTCCTGCCTTATCTGCCAGCGTTTCTTAGCGAGACGATAACATGTAAGAGATAAGGATTCCTAGAAACTGGAATATAGTCAAGAAACCTTTATACCCTGTTGTCAATTGTAAATTTACAATAAGTAGGTATAATGAACTTGTTATATTTATTTTCATACTGCAAGTGATTACGAGTGTTGGTGTTAATATATTTTGAATGTTAGGCCAATGTCTTTAAAACTTCTTTCTATTACCAGGTCAGGGTACGACCGTGAAACAGTTAATGTCTGTTTAGTGAATTCGACACATGCTAACAGAATGCCCGCGCTGCATGTTATTTTTAACCCTGTAGACATGGGGTCAGTCACCCGCCCAGTCCTCCAACAGGGACCAGTCCTGACATTAGGAACTTGCGTGGGAATATACCAGCATTATCCTTAAGGGACTTAATAAAAAGAAATCACAATAACCGTATATGACAGAAAAAGGCACGCAATTCTACAACGTAACTTATAATCACTACAACATAAGAGCTGGTTTTGGTATAACATTTCTTCATATGATTGCTGATGATATTAAGTTAATAGGTCGATACAATCTTTGGTAAGTGTAATTTCATGTATTGATAAATTATTGACATTAAAATTTTAATTCATTGCTATAACCCTCTCTCTTTATAACCATGAATAAAATGTATATGCGGTTTAATTACAAGATATGTTAATGTATTAAGATGATTAATCATACATTTGCTAATTCCGTGTGAGATAGTGCTTAAATAAAATACAGTTAAAATATCTTTTAGCATTCAATTAGGATTCAAACTTGATAACAACAATTTACTCTTTCTCTTTCGTGTCTACCCTACATAAGTATAACATTAAAGTATTCGACATTAACGTTGATAAAACTAACATCTTGCAAGTTTTGCCAACTTTAATCTCAAAGTTAACGCTTTGTGAATTGCGGTGACTTTTCCACAATTACATGATTGTTTTATAAAACAAATTGTCTTCTTCAGCTTTGTTTTTATATTCATGAGTCATCATTCAAGGTTCTATATAAATATATCGTTTAAATGTCAATGTTTCAGATAAGATATAAAATAATAATTTTATCTATCTCATCTTTTGCTTGAGAATATAAACGCTAACAAAAATTTTAATTTATAGTTTTATAGAACAGAAATCGTTTGACGGAACATTTAAACCCATATAAACATTCATCTGTCTTGTATACCTTAGCTTTACCCTTGTACGACTAAAATAACGAACCCCCTTTTTTGGGGTGCGTTAACGTCGTTTAGGGGAGCTCCGCTAGGTAGGGTGAGTAAGATGAACGGCTAGGGGACTCACCGTTGCTGTATCGGTGAGGGTGACGGTAGCGGTGGTAGGTCCACCGTTGGTCCCGTTGTTGTTAGACGCTAAGCTGGCCACCTGATTGTTAGCACTTTGTTCTATAATACGCTGGCGGAGTGCCAATCTCTCAAGGCTAGCCAGCCGGTGAGATCCACCTGTTCCTTCCCTATCGCGTTCTCGTAGACCAGTTCCAGTGAGAGAACTTCCTGCATTGAACGATCCACTGTATTTCGGCAATGTGGGCGGTGGCACCGGCCTAGCTGACCCACCTCGCCCGAGCAACGAACCGCTGGATGTGTATGCATAGCTGTTAGGTGTCCCGAGGGTAGCGGTACGCGGAGCCGATCCTATCCCATTCAGGGCTCCGTTAGTACCGTTGACGGCGTTCCCATTCACCGTCGTAGTACTGCCGTTCATCTCCTTTTGGTATCGTCCGTCATGCGACTACTAACAAAACACACACTGTCACTAGCCGTCAATAACAGTACGTCTCGAGCTTGTGCGATATGTGTAAGCGTTCGAGCCGGCTGCCTGTCGGAGGCGGTTTGACAGCTCGCTGGGTACTCACAGCCGGGGCGCGCGGGCGGAGTACCGCGAGAGCCACGGCGCCCCGCACTCACGACATCGCCGTCCGACAACGACCCCACTGTAGCCAAGGATTATTGCCACACGACTAACCGACTAGAGGGTTGAAAATGCATTGCTGCATCTCTTCCAAGGTCAATTCGAAATACTTAGCCAATTCGCCATATTACAACGTCTATAATTACGCACGTTTCGGGTTCGAAGACTTCTCATGATATTAAGAAAATTATTTGCAGATACTACGTAGATATCATTGTTTACAATAGAATATTTACAATCGTTACAGTTTATCAGTTTATTATCTTATTTGTTAAATAAATATTGTGAGGTTTTATACAATCTACTTATTGTTTCAATTATATGTACATATATGTGTATGTATATGTATGTTTTAATATATCATCATATTTCTGATAATCCTTAAAAGACATTGTGAATCTATCTTTTTAATAAATAAATTACTTATAACTAAGAAACTAAAGGTTGAGAACATCTTATAAGTTTATATTCGTGAATGAATAATGCCATGAACGGTTCTCAATTGTTCAAAGAAGGAAATATCGTTTCGTTCAATCACTGGTTCATACAGTAGGTAACTTAAACAAAACATTATTGTAATTACATACAACAGAGAAATATAGTATGTGTAACGCTATACACGCAATGAACATTAAAACGAATTTGTTTTATATCCGACAGTTATTATACGCTTTGAAGTCCAATTAACTCCCCGTCAATGCAATTAGTTGAACATTTTTTTGTAGGACTCTTTATATTTTAATGATTGAATCTGATGTCTAGACTCTAGACAATGCATTCATTGGAGCACGTGGTTGTCGCGTGTCCTGGTCACGGTCATGACAATCGACCGAGCACACAGCACGCATGCGTGGAACACACCAGGGTACCCTCGGGGAGTTTACTTCATCTGCACAAGCCACAACCCTACAGCATACTAAACACGAGAATGTATTTCGTTCTTTTCGCCTTACACTTTGATATGTTTGCAATTTCAAGGCTTTAACCCTATGGGTTTATTACAGAATAACGAGAATTATTATTTCTTTTCATAGCCTATTCGATGTTTACACATAAATAACTTTTCAAATATAATTGGCTGCAGCTTAAATTGACATTAATATTTTATTTGAATATATTCTTGAATGATATAAATTTTAAAGCACGTTAAAATGCTTTGGAGGATACAAGAGTCTAAAAGGAATGTAATTTCCATTCCATATCCTGAGTTTGTATCGTAATATTTTCTCACTTCCCTCACCAGCTGATTCACTTGTCAGTAGGACATTAATTTTACTGGATAAACAGATATGTAACAGCGAAAGTGTATGTAATGATTATTGCAAGTCTAACTTTATACTAATGTAACTTTCAAGTTGGAATAGAAAACAGACAAATATAATTGATGTTTTTTACCTTTTTATTAAATTCAGAGCTTACATTAGGGAGCGAGGGTTCACTTGCTGGAGGCTTTTAATAGAGTCAATGAAAATATTTTATACGTTTACGAGTTTAAGAAACTATTTTAGAAGCCTTCATTATGAAACTAAGGGGCACTCCTTTTGAGTATATAAACTAATTCTTATGTATATTTTATTCAGGTTTCTTAATTAACGTCATTAAATCTACTTCAATCAATGCGGCCTATAAAAATGGAATGTTTTTCAATACTTTTACATAATGCTTGAAAAAATATAATAATTTCACATGCTGAGTAAATTACTATTAATAAAAAATATACACTTAAAACTTTACAGTATGTATAGATCATAAAAATTCTAAATGCGACAAAAAACGATTACAGTGCCATCTATGAAAGGAACACGAGCATCAATTCTCTATAGGGAATCGAGAAATAGCGGTTACATTATAGTAAGCCTTTGGACTAAATATCGCTAGATGGCGTTACTCGGCCAAACTGTTATGCTTTAAAACTATTGTAGTTTTTTTTTTTCAATCATGTATTACAAACAATTTATTGTTTTTTACATATTAATAACGATACAAGAAATTATACCTACCCATACAAAGGTATAAGAAAATGTGTATTCACATTTATATTTTAATTCTGTATTATATCCACGTACTCAATATATTCATAATAAATATTAAATCGTATTTTAAAATTTCAATTCATTTCATTTAGCGTGACTAGCTAAAACTGAACTCCTAAAAAGAGAAATTATTGCTTGAAAAGTGACATTAGAAACGACGGTTTCGAATTGGAACCCACAATACAATATCTTATTAAAGAAACTATCAATTTACATCGAACAAAGGCAAGATCAATAGCACAACTATAAATTACATATGAATATAATAATAACTTAAAGATATTCAATCAATAATACTATGAACTATACTTATATCATCAATAGTAATTTCTACAAAAGTTCGTGAGAATTATTGAGCATGTCTATTTTTTCTATCAGTATAACTAGTACACCGTTTTTGTTAATATTAACATTTTATATCTAGTGCTTTGAAATAAAGATAGACCAATATTCGTAGATATATTGCTTGAAATTCAAACCATAGTAATAACTATATCCTCCGTGTTCAGGGTGAAGACTTAGGGAGCCTAATATTTATGTAAAAATAATTCAATTATATGAATTTCATATTTAACGAACTATGAAATATAAATAAATATAAGTAACAGGCTTAATGAAAACTCGTGACACTATTAGTATTATAACAATGATGAGAAAACAATGCACCCAATAAACCTCTTTGTTCCATTCAGTTTTCACAACTGTTGAGAATTTTTCTAGATTTCTATACTTAAAGCATATTATTTTCGCAATCCGCGTCAGTTGAAAGACCAAACGAGTGCCGATGTGATGAACAAAAGAAATAAGAGTAACGTCCTATTTAGGGCTGTGGGACTTCACTCGCGAGGGTAGGTCGGGGGGATAAGTACTATAAACACAGAGATTCGTGACACAGTTTCAGAATAAAGTTGAAACCACTTGAAAACGACTTGCTGTGGCCGCTGTAAACCGGAGTCGCTCGTTTTGTAAAATCCCTTTAAAGTGTATAGAGTCTTTAAATATTTATTTTTAACATAACTTAATCACCTTTGTAAGTTTATTGAACTCCGGACATGTTGAAAGATGTAATAAAGATGTGGACCTGCGCGTGCCTAGTAATGGTTTGTTACGGCGAGTTAACTTAAACAAAACACCGGTCGTTCTCGCTAAGGATTAAAATAACACCTTTCTAAGTGGAAACCACTGAATTCCTACTCAAATTTATATGACTATCAAAAGTGAATGACTCTGTTTGTTTCGTTTTTAAACTTTAAATATGTATATAGTCAATCGTCCCAGATTCAACCTTTCTCATATATAATATATATCAAGCAATATCAGATGAAAACAAAAATTATTGCTAATGAAACAATCATAAAAATTAAGTATCTTATATTGGAAAGTTTATGAGTTTGTGTAAATCAATGAAAGTATGGAGATCTGTTACTCTAACACAAGAAAAAGTCGAAAGTAATATAAAATACTATTGAATTTTCGGCTACTTCTATATTATCCCCGAACAAAGATTTGGATAGTATAAAAATGATGTATTCTTTTCATTAATGGAAAGTATAAGGTATTTAACGTAGTATTTTGCCTACGTTTGGATTTTTTTCATGCTACTGTAAATAGCAACACGAATGTAACGGTAGGCGTGCATTCCAGTAATACCATTTTTTTTTGGAATCCATAATATGTCACACGCGAAACTTCATATAAGCAAACGACACCATACGTAGAAAGCACTCATTTTTTTCGTCAGACAAAATATACATTATTATCATATACATAATCTGTATACATATTGAATATTGAACAATGAAATCAGTATTTGATAAAATAATTTAGTTGAAAAGATTCTTAATTAAAGAAAATTATTATTTGAATATAGACTTTTTGAGGTTCTCGAAACTGATTTAAATTACTTACATATATTCTGATTGCTTCGGATCTAGCTTTTTATTCTGTTTGAGTAGAAATAATTGCTAATGTTAACGATTACTTGAGCAATATAATTGATGGATGGCTTTCAACGTCACACTGAACAGGAAAATTGTGTTTAAATAGAACCATTTATTTACAAATAATATAATATTGTTATATATCAGTATTCAGTAACGTACGACAAAATTAGAACTACTATAGGAAAAACCTGAGTTTTTCCATTAACTTGTTAGTTGAAAAACTTATATCCTTCAACATTCTCTCTTTTAAGGATATATTTTATGGCGAACTTCTAAATAAAAAAAATGTATTTTCTATAGACCTACAAAACGGTACTAAATACAAAAAATAGCATCGACACCTGTCAAGATTTTGAAGAAATTTTACGTTACTTTGTCTTAAGTATACCTTTGCGTAAATAGAACTAGCTTACAGCCCGCAGCTTCACCCGCGTGGAGTTCGGTTATATCGCGTTTCCAAGAGAACCTTTCAAAAGTCTGGGATAAAAACTATCCTATATTCTTTCTCAAGGTCAACTCTATCTCTGTACCAAATTTCATTAAGAACAGTTCAGTGGTTTAGGCGTGAAAGCGTAACAGACAGACAGACAGAGTTATTTTCGCATTTATAATATTAGTAGGGATTAGCGACTTATCCGTTCCTCATGATAGAATTTTCATCCAAATTTAAAATAGAAGTACGCAAAGAACGTTCATCGACAACCAATGAAATTAATACTATTAATAAATTGAGGAAATATTCTCGAAACGAACAAGTAATAATTTGAAAACCGTTACAATCATAAATTTAATACAAATATCACTCAGAAGTTGTATGCAATAACAAAAAAATTACAATCAATGTTAAAAACGTCGTTATGATCGTGTTTTATCTTCGCGTTTCCTAAACGTACGTGTTGTTTTACCAAAAGGCACGCGCCATCACAAAATAGAATTGTTTCTAAAACAATCCGCGAATCTATAGAAGCTCTGTGTCTCAATTTAGGAGTGAAAAAAGTAATACTTTGATTAAAGTCTATGAAAATAAATATTAACTACGCTTTTAATTATTTATAAGCCATATTTTTATGTCCTATATATAAATACTATTACGTTATAAACTCAATAAAGCAAGATGTCAATAAATTTTAAGGCGTATAAGTTCTAAGTTCTTCATGAGTTTCAGCGAAATCTTTTCAGTAGATTTTATGTTTAAAAGTTACAAAAGTCGACCGATGCATACTTTATCATTCATAAATCATAATATTTGAGCAGAATAAAGATACAAAGGTACTAATCCATGTAAAGTCAGTGCTATAATTAGAAGGTACTTACTCATATTTTTTTACGTTTAAAGTAAAATCTAATCTATTTATTTGAAATAGATCCTAAAATAATACAATACATTATTGGTCATTATTTAAATTTCTAAATAAAGAGACTTTACAACCGTCGTAAGTCATATTTATCTTAGTTGTAAAATGCATTTAGTACACACCTTAAGCGATAAAACGAACTAAAAGTCATTTACACAACAGATTAGACATTACTAAGTGTCCTGTTTGTTAAAGTCCCATATTGATTATATATCATCGTTAAAAAATGTAGATATAGCGTTCAAGTACACATTATATGGGTTATATATAACTCACCTGTTCCGTACTTCCATTAAGTGGTTTGTACCGGGAAAGGACTGGCCTATTTCTTGTTCTAGTCAACGGCGAGTCTGATACAGAAGCCATCGTCTCTAATCACTGGTATTAAACACTGATACACTTTAACGTTAATGAATATATATAGTTTACATAACCCATCCGTCAGCTACATGCGAAGGATACACACTGTTACGATTACAGTGTGCCACTAACAAATATGATACCACATTTTTCCGTCGACAAATCACATCCGGAGAGTCGAACCAGCCGAGTGAATCAACGCAATACTAGGGCTTAGCCAAGACTGATA